CATCGACCTCTGGGTTATGGGCCCAGCACGCTTCGCTGCGCCACTCTGCTGTTAGTTTTCATGGACTGGGCTTGTACGTGTGAGGGCTTGCTTTTCTGTTTAAGGCTAAAGAAAGCAGTGAAAACTAGTGAGCCAAGACACCCAAAAACACTCTGAGAGGGCACATAGCATCTAGTGCCTTTGCCAAATGAGTAAGAGCGACTTCCTGATGATTCATGTTTTCAATGGCTGTAGATACAGGTTCTTGCCTTGGTCAAGCACTTTTTCCCACTCAGTGTTTTGCAACATTTTATCAACATTTAGATGACATGAAGAGATGGCAGTCCTTTCAATGTATTATGGCAGTGATGGCAGTCCTTGTTAATGTTTTAAATGGATGTAGATACAGGTTCTTGCCTTTGGCAAGCACTTTTTCCCACTCAGTGTTTTGCATCAACATTTGGAGGTTATTTATGTAAATAGTCTATCACACACAAATATGTGAGGACACAGTTGTCTTGTAAATGGCAGTGGTGGGATTTGAACCCACGCCTCCTGAGAGACTGGAGCCTAAATCCAGCGCCTTAGACCACTCGGCCACACTACCTTTCAGGAAGATGTGGTGCTATTGGGGAGGCCAATGTGCTGGATACTTGCAGATGTCTGCTCAATTATGGGGAATCTGAAGGCGTGAGCTACCCTTGGCACATAAGGTCAGACTGATCCAAAGGACACACCACAGCAATAAAGAAGGACATCAATTAGCAGAGGATGGTTTCGATCCATCGACCTCTGGGTTATGGGCCCAGCACGCTTCCGCTGCGCCACTCTGCTGTCAGTTTTCATGGACTGGGCTTGTACGTGTGAGGCTTGCTTTTCTGTTTAAGGCTAAAGAAAGCAGTGAAAACTAGTGAGCCAAGACACCAAAAACACTCTGGGAGGGCACATAGCATCTAGTGCCTTTGCCAAATGAGTAAGAGCGACTTCCTTGATGGTTCATGTTTTGCAATGGCTGTAGATACAGGTTCTTGCCTTGGTCAAGCACTTTTTCCCACTCAGTGTTTTGCAACATTTTATCAACATTTAGATGACATGAAGAGATGGCAGTCCTTGTCAATGTTTTATGGCAGTGATGGCAGTCCTTGTTAATGTTTTAAATGGATGTAGATACAGGTTCTTGCCTTTGGCAAGCACTTTTTCCCACTCAGTGTTTTGCATCAACATTTGGAGGTTATTTATGTAAATAGTCTATCACACACAAATATGTGAGGACACAGTTGTCCTTGTCAAATGGCAGTGGTGGGATTTGAACCCACGCCTCCTGAGAGACTGGAGCCTTAATCCAGCGCCTTAGACCACTCGGCCACACTACCTTTTGAGAAGACCTGGTGCTATGTGGGAGGCCAATGTGCTGGATACTTGCAGATGTTTGCTCAATTATGGGGAATCTGAAGGTTGCGCGAGCTACCCTTGGCACATAAGGTCAGACTGAAGAAAGCAGTGAAAACTAGTGAGCCAAGACGCCCAAAAAACACTCTGGGAGGGCACATAGCATCTAGTGCCTTTGCCAAATGAGTAAGAGCGACTTCCTTGATGGTTCATGTTTTCAATGGCTGTAGATACAGGTTCTTGCCTTTGGCAAGCACTTTTTCCACTCAGTGTTTTGCAACATTTTATCAACATTTAGATGACATGAAGAGATGTCATTCCTTGCAATGTTTTATGGCAGTGATGGCAGTCCTTGTTAATGTTTTAAATGGATGTAGATACAGTTTCTTGCCTTTGGCAAGCACTTTTTCCCACTCAGTGTTTTGCATCAACATTTGGAGGTTATTTATGTAAATAGTCTATCACACACAAATATGTGAGGACACAGTTGTCCTTGTCAAATGGCAGTGGTGGGATTTTGAACCCACGCCTCCTGAGAGACTGGAGCCTAAATCCAGTGCCTTAGACCACTCGGCCACACTACCTTTCAGGAAGATGTGGTGCTATTGGGAGGCCAATGTGCTGGATACTTGCAGATGTCTGCTCAATTATGGGGAATTGAAGGTTGCGTGAGCTACCCTTGGCACATAAGGTCAGACTGATCCAAAGGAACACCACAGACCAATAAAGATGGACATCAATTAGCAGAGGATGGTTTCGATCCATCGACCTCTGGGTTATGGGCCCAGCACGCTTCCGCTGCGCACTCTGCTCTTAGTTTTCATGGACTGGGCTTGTACGTGTGAGGCTTGCTTTTCTGTTTAAGGCTAAAAGAAGCAGTGAAAACTAGTGAGCCAAGACACCCAAAAAACACTCTGAGAGGGCACATAGCATCTAGTGCCTTTGCCAAATGAGTAAGAGCGACTTCCTTGATGATTCATGTTTTCAAATGGCTGTAGATACAGGTTCTTGCCTTGGTCAAGCACTTTTTTCCCACTCAGTGTTTTGCAACATTTTATCAACATTTAGATGACATGAAGAGATGGCAGTCCTTGTCAATGTTTTATGGCAGTGATGGCAGTCCTTGTTAATGTTTTAAATGGATGTAGATACATTTGCCTTTGGCAAGCACTTTTTCCCACTCAGTGTTTTGCATCAACATTTGGAGGTTATTTATGTAAATAGTCTATCACACACAAATATGTGAGGACACAGTTGTCCTTGTCAAATGGCAGTGGTGGGATTTGAACCCACGCCTCCTGAGACTGGAGCCTAATCCAGTGCCTTAGACCACTCGCCACAACTACCTTTCAGGAAGATGTGGTGCTATTGGGGAGGCCAATGTGCTGGATACTTGCAGATGTCTGCTCAATTATGGGGAATCTGAAGGTTGCGTGAGCTACCCTTGGCACATAAGGTCAGACTGATCCAAAGGACACACCACAGACAATAAAGATGGACATCAATTACAGAGGATGGTTTCGATCCATCGACCTCTGGTTATGGGCCAGCACGCTTCCGCTGCGCCACTCTGCTCTTAGTTTTCATGGACTGGGCTTGTACGTGTGAGGCTTGCTTTTCTGTTTAAGGCTAAAGAAAGCAGTGAAAACTAGTGACCAAGACCCAAAAACACTCTGAGAGGGCACATAGCATCTAGTGCCTTTGCCAAATGAGTAAGAGCGACTTCCTTGATGATTCATGTTTTCAATGGCTGTAGATACAGGTTCTTGCCTTGGTCAAGCACTTTTTCCCACTCAGTGTTTTGCAACATTTTATCAACATTTAGATGACATGAAGAGATGGCAGCCTTGTCAATGTTTTATGGCAGTGATGGCAGTCCTTGTTATGTTTTAAATGGATGTAGATACAGGTTCTGCCTTTGGCAGCACTTTTTCCCACTCAGTGTTTTGCATCAACATTTGGGGTTATTTATGTAAATAGTCTATCACACACAATATGTGAGGACACGTTTCCTTGTCAAATGGCAGTGGTGGATTTGAACCCACGCCTCCTGAGAGACTGGAGCCTTAATCAGCGCCTTAGACACTCGGCCACACTACCTTTCAGGAAACGTGGTGCTATTGGGGAGGCCAATGTGCTGGATATTGCAGATGTCTGCTGAATTATGGGGAATCTGAAGGTTGCGTGAGCTACCCTTGGCACATAAGGTCAGACTGATCCAAAGGACACACCACAGACCAATAAAAATGACATCAATTAGCAGAGGATGGTTTCGATCCATCGACCTCTGGGTTATGGGCCCAGCACGCTTCCGCTGCGCCACTCTCTGATTAGTTTTCATGGATGGGCTTGTACGTGTGAGGCTTGCTTTTCTGTTTAAGGCTAAAGAAAGCAGTGAAAACTAGTGAGCCAAGACACCCAAAAAACACTCTGGGATGGCACATAGCATCTAGTGCTTTGCCAAATGAGTAAGAGCGACTTCCTTGATGGTTCATGTTTGCAATGGCTGTAGATACAGGTTTCTTGCCTTGGTCAAGCACTTTTTCCCACTCAGTGTTTTGCAACATTTATCAACATTTAGATGACATGAAGAGATGGCAGTCCTTGTCAATGTTTTATGGCAGTGATGGCAGTCCTTGTTAATGTTTTCAATGGCTGTAGATACAGGTTCTTGCCTTGGTCAAGCACTTTTTCCCACTCAGTGTTTTGCAACATTTTATCAACATTTAGATGAACATGAAGAGATGGCAGTCCTTGTCAATGTTTTATGGCAGTGATGGCAGTCCTTGTTAAGTTTTAAATGGATGTAGATACAGGTTCTTGCCTTTGGCAAGCACTTTTTCCCACTCAGTGTTTTGCATCAACATTTGGAGGTTATTTATGTAAATAGTCTATCACACACAAATATGTGAGGACACAGTTGTCCTTGTCAAATGGCAGTGGTGGATTTGAACCCACGCCTCCTGAGAGACTGGAGCCTAAATCCAGCGCCTTAGACCACTCGGCCACACTACCTTTCAGGAAGACGTGGTGCTTTTGGGGAGGCCAATGTGCTGGATACTTGCAGATGTCTGCTCAATTATGGGGAATCTGAAGGATGCGTGAGCTACCCTTGGCACATAAGGTCAGACTGATCCAAGGACACACCACAGACCAATAAAGATGGACATCAATTAGCAGAGGATGGTTTCGAGTCCTCGACCTCTGGGTTATGGGCCCAGCACGCTTCCGCTGCGCCACCTGCTGTTATTTTCATGGACTGGGCTTGTACGTGTGAGGCTTGCTTTCTGTTTAAGGCTAAAGAAAGCAGTGAAAACTAGTGAGCCAAGACGCCCAAAAAACACTCTGGAGGGCACATAGCATCTAGTGCTTGCCAAATGAGAAGAGCGACTTCCTTGATGGTTCATGATGGTTTCCTTTTGACCACTCGGCCACACTACCTTTCAGGAAGATGTGGTGCTATTGGGGAGGCAATGTGCTGGATACTTGCAGATGTTTGCTCAATTATGGGGAATCTGAAGGTTGCGCGAGCTACCCTTGGCACATAAGGTCAGACTGATCCAAAGGACACACACAGACCAATAAAGATGGACATCAATAGCAGAGGATGGTTTCGATCCATCGACTCGGGTTATGGGCCCAGCACGCTTCCGCTGCGCCACTCTGCTGTTAATTTTCAGGACTGGGCTTGTACGTGTGAGGCTTGCTTTTCTGTTTAAGGCAAGAAAGCAGTGAAAACTAGTGAGCCAAGACACCCAAAAAACACTCTGAGAGGGCACATAGCATCTAGTGCCTTTGCCAAATGAGTAAGAGCGACTTCCTTGATGATTCATGTTTTCAATGGCTGTAGATACAGGTTCTTGCCTTGGTCAAGCACTTTTTCCCACTCTTTGTCAAGCACTATTCCCACTCATGCAACATTTTATCAACATTTAGATGACATGAAGAGATGGCATTCCTTGCCAATGTTTATGGCAGTGATGGCAGTCCTTGTTAATGTTTTAAATGGATGTAGATACAGGTTCTTGCCTTTGGCAAGCACTTTTTCCCACTCAGTGTTTTGCATCAACATTTGGAGGTTATTTATGTAAATAGTCTATCACACACAAATATGTGAGGACACAGTTGTCCTTGTCAATGGCAGTGGTGGGATTTGAACCCACACCTCCTGAGAGACTGGAGCCTTAGACCACTCGGCCACACTACCTTTCAGGAAGATGTGGTGCTATTGGGGAGGCAATGTGCTGGATACTTGCAGATGTTTGCTCAATTATGGGGAATCTGAAGGTTGCGCGATCTACCCTTGGCACATAAGGTCAGACTGATCCAAAGGACACACCACAGACCATAAAGATGGACATCAATTAGCAGAGGATGGTTTCGATCCATCGACCTCTGGGTTATGGGCCCAGCACGCTTCGCTGCGCCACTCTGCTGTTAGTTTTCATGGACTGGGCTTGTACATGTGAGGCTTGCTTTTCTGTTTAAGGCTAAAGAAAGCAGTGAAAACTAGTGAGCCAAGACACCCAAAAAACACTCTGAGAGGGCACATAGCATCTAGTGCCTTTGCCAAATGAGTAAGAGCGACTTCCTTGATGATTCATGTTTTCAATGGCTGTAGATACAGGTTCTTGCCTTGGTCAAGCACTTTTTCCCACTCAGTGTTTTGCAACATTTTATCAACATTTAGATGACATGAAGAGATGGCAGTCCTTGTCTATGTTTTATGGCAGTGATGGCAGTCCTTGTTAATGTTTTAAACGGATGTAGATACAGGTTCTTGCCTTTGGCAAGCACTTTTTCCCACTCAGTGTTTTGCATCAACATTTGGAGGTTATTTATGTAAATAGTCTATCACACACAAATATGTGAGGACACAGTTGTCCTTGTCAAATGGCAGTGGTGGGATTTGAACCCACGCCTCCTGAGAGACTGGAGCCTTAGACCACTTGGCCACACTACCTTTCAGGAAGATGTGGTGCTATTGGGGAGGCCAATGTGCTGGATACTTGCAGATGTTTGCTCAATTATGGGGAATCTGAAGGTTGCGCGATCTACCCTTGGCACATAAGGTCAGACTGATCCAAAGGACACACCACAGACCAATAAAGATGGACATCAATTAGCAGAGGATGGTTTCGATCCATCGACCTCTGGGTTATGGGCCCAGCACGCTTCCGCTGCGCCACTCTGCTCTTAGTTTTCATGGACTGGGCTTGTACGTGTGAGGCTTGCTTTTCTGTTTAAGGCTAAAGAAAGCAGTGAAAACTAGTGAGCCAAGACGCCCAAAAAACACTCTGGGAGGGCACATAGCATCTAGTGCCTTTGCCAAATGAGTAAGAGCGACTTCCTTGATGATTCATGTTTGCAATGGCTGTAGATACAGGTTCTTGCCTTTGGCAAGCACTTTTTCCCACTCAGTGTTTTGCAACATTTTATCAACATTTACATGACATGAAGAGATGGCAGTCCTTGTCAATGTTTTATGGCAGTCCTTGTTAATGTTTTAAATGGATGTAGATACAGGTTCTTGCCTTTGGCAAGCACTTTTTCCCACTCAGTGTTTTGCATCAACATTTGGAGA